GTTGAGCATGTTTAGGATGTTTTTCATGCTTATATATCCATAATATGACATGATTTCAAGTTGGTTTTGGTGGTCCATGCATGCTTAGCATAGTTGCCATGTAATGCCTTGTTATGTCTTAACATGTCTTAGGTTGTGTGCCTTTGTTTCTAGCATGTTTTGGGCTTACATTTGTGAAGATTTTGTGCTTATCTTGACATGTTTTAGGTCTGTCCATCAGCATTTGGGTTGATTTTGGCATGCATCATATAGCCTCTTTGCATTTTGGCTTGTTGGCCTTAAGTATGTGAATGTGTAGTATGCCATTCTTGCATTGATTTGGTGATTTGGGACCACTCTACATGCTATTTCAGTCCCATTTTCATGCTTGCTTGGTTGTCTTGCATGCCTCTTTGATGCTTTGGAAGTATGTGTTGCATGCTTCATGTTTTGGTGATTATGCATGCCTTCGTTTTTGAGCCATTTGGATTGTTTTGAGCCACTTAGATGCCATCTAAGTGATCCTTAGGCCTTGTTTTAATGTGCTAAGACTCTGTTTTTGGTCAACAAGTTCATCCCATGTTTGGTCTTGCTAAGTGTAGTTCGATACTCCATTAGTTTGCTTTGAGCACTTGGGCTATTTGTTGCACGTTTGGCTTGATTTGTTGCTTGGTTTGGCACCATCCTAACATGACTTTCAATGCTTATGTTGCATGCTTTTAGTCCACATTATGCTCCTTCCAAATGTGCTTGAGGGTTGTCTAATTCGTGCCTAAGTGTTGGCCCTTAATCATATGTATGCGTGCATGTATTTTGGTCCCTTGTTTTGGTCATTTTAGCCACTGTTTTGGGCCTTATTAGAGCTGCCCAAATCATGTTTAGGACCACCTTTTCATTCATTAGCATCGCCTCATGTTTGCTTGTATGCTTGCATAAGTGCCTTGCCATGCCATGTTGCATCCTTAGCTTGTATGTCTAGGTTGCATTGCATCTTGCATGCATGCCTTGTTCCTTGACATAATGATAGGAATTGGGCCATGTTTTGCTTGATTGGTTTGCATTTCATTTGACATGAAAGTTGCATACTTGGTTCTTTGGGCCATCATGCATGGAAATGCGTGATTGGTGGTCCGAGAATCGAGACACATGCCCCTTTAAGTCATTGCCATGATAAGGGACATGATTGGTGCATATATGCCTTGAATTGTGGTGCCATGCTTTGCCTTGCCCTCTGTTGCTGTCATTTGCAGATTCTGCAGGAACACTCTGCCGACCGGTAGTGTAAAGTGCCGACCGGCAATCATTTCTCTGCCGACAGCTTCATTTTGTGCCGGTGGCCACATCCCACTGCCGGTGGCAATTCCATGCAGCCGGTGATGTCTCCCAGCATCCAAGGAAGTAATCCTGAGGTTTTGGCAGCCTCCAGAGGAGTGAAGGAAGGAAAACAGAGGCAGCCTATGCATGGCGGTGCATTTCCCGAGGCGATTTCCTGTTTTCTTAGCTTAAGTTAATTTGCTTAGTTGATTAGGCAATTTGTAATATTTAATTAGCTTGAGTAGTTAATTAATTTGTATTATTTATTTGGTCCCTGAGTGAGGGCAAATCTGTAATAAGTGTGTGTGAGTGGTGTGCATGTCTTCCAATCCCCACTTCTTTCTTCCTTTTACTTACCTGCTTTGTTGGTTAGTATTAGGGCACGTTTAATTCAGCATACCTTATGATATGCATGCGTGCATTCATGCATTTGTGTTGCATGCATTACGCTCGGTACATCACGCTAACTGCATTTGTACTTCAATTCAAAATTAAATACGTGCATCAATTGATTGACTGCATTTCACATGCCATGTTTAGGATTAGTCGAGCCTATCTAATTGCATCATGTACGTGTTGCATTAGGCAATTTAACATGAACTAGGACATGCATGTTTGCTAACTAGTTTATTGTTTTGGCACGGAGTACGATGTAAGTATTTATGCTTTAGCATCTCGCATGCGTGTGAATGTTAACATGACAGTATGCTTGCCATGCGGCTAAATGCTTATGTCTTAAACTGTTTGAATGCCTGTGGGTGAAGGATGGATTGTTTGAGTTGGAAAAACTCGTCGAAATCCGTGTTTTAGCCTACTTGCGAGTAGCAAATTCCAAAGCATTTTCCAAAACAAACGGATATGCAAAAATGCAAGGAGATTGTGGACTCTAGGAAAGTGTTTGATGGAATGAGGAAGAGAAACACAGTCACTTGGACTTCCATTATAGCAGGGTATGCTCGGAATGGACTTAGTGAGGAGGCCATAAGTCTATTTCGGATAATGAGAAGACGTAAAATACTTGCTAACAACTTGACCATGGTGAGCATCCTCAGGGCATGTGGCTCGGTTGGAGGTTTGGCGTTGGGAAAGGAAGTTCATGCTCAATTAGTCAAGAATTCAACTCAAAGCAATATTTACATAGGAAGCACTCTTGTGTGGCTCTATTGCAAATGTAGGGAGTACTCTGTTGCATCCACGATCCTCCAAGAAATGCCTTTAAAAGATGTAGTCTCGTGGACTGCCATGATTTCTGGTTGTGCAGGTCTTGGCCACGAATCCGAGGCTCTTGAATTCTTGAAAGAAATGTTAGGGGAAGGTGTTGAGCCAAACCCATTTACCTATTCATCTGCTTTGAAAGCTTGTGCCAAACTAGAAAATATTCATCAAGGGAGATTGATCCACTCCTCTGTGAACAAGACCCCAGCCTTCTCTAATGTGTATGTGGGCAGCGCTTTAATTTTTATGTATGCAAAATGTGGGCATGTTTCGGAGGCAATTCAAGTTTTTGATAGCATGCCAGAACGGAATTTGGTTTCTTGGAAAGCTATGATTATGGGTTATGCAAAGAATGGGTTATGCCGAGAGGCTTTGAAGCTCATGTATCGAATGCAAGCAGAGGGAGTTGAGGTGGATGATTACATACTTACAACGGTTCTTACTGCTTGTGGAGATGTTGATTGGAATGTGGAGCCTGCACCTAAGCATTGCTTGCAGTTGACTTGATCTTTCATGATAACAGAATTCCAGTTTTTGATTTGGAATTCTGAATGGAATCGTAGATATTTGGGGACTGTAATATTTGCTGTATATTATTTATTCGGACCCTGAGGGTGGTTTGTGAGTATTCGGATGTCTTTCCCGAAGATCTTGTTAGTTTGCCACCTTACCGAGATATAGAGTTCTCTATTGATTTAGTGCCCGGCATGGCGCCGATTTCTATGGCACCTTACCATTTTGCTTAAGCAGAGTTGGTTGAGTTGAAAGTTCAGCTCCAGGAATTGCTAGATAAGGGCTTTGTTCGCCCTAGTGTTTCACCATGGAGAGCACCGGCCCTCTTTGCTAAAAAGAAAGATGGTGCCTTGAGATTGTGTATAGACTACCGGAAGTTGAATCGGGCTACGGTCAAGAATAAGTACCCTATGCCCCGTATAGATGATCTGTTTGATCAGTTGAAGGGTTCCCGTTGTTTCTCTGAGATAGACTTGCGATCGGGTTACCACCAGTTGAGGGTCAGGGAGGAGGATATTCCTAAGACGGCATTCAGTACGCGGTATGACCATTATGAATTTTTGGTGATGCCATTCGGGCTTACCAATGCACCTGCAGTCTTTATAGACTTGATGAACCGGATCTTTCGGGAATTCTTGGATCGATTTGTAGTCGTTTTCGTGGACGACATTCTTGTTTATTCACCTTCAGAGGAGGAACACGAGGCACACTTGAGAGGGGTGCTTGAGTTGCTTAGGGCCCATAGGCTGTATGCCAAGTTTGGGAAGTGTGAGTTCTGGCTGAGGGAAGTCAAATTCTTAGGCCACGTGGTATCCGGGGAAGGGGTGTCTGTTGATGCATCCAAGGTTGAGGCAGTGCAAGATTGGGCACAGCCTAAGAGTGTGTTTGAGATTCGCAGTTTTCTGGGATTAGCTGGGTATTACCGTCGGTTTGTGAAAGATTTCTCCAGGCTAGCTTCGCCGTTAACTAGACTGACTCGGAAGGGAGTCAAATTTGTGTGGAGTGAGACTTGTGAAAAGTCGTTCCAAGAGTTGAAGGTTAGATTGATCACTGCTCCGGTTTTGATTATTCCGGAGAGGGGACTAGGTTATGCAGTCTATTGTGATGCCTCACGAGAGGGTTTGGGTTGTGTGTTGATGCAAGAGGGGAAAGTGGTAGCTTATGGCTCACGTCAGTTGAAAATACACGAGAAGAATTACCCTACACACGACCTAGAGTTAGCAGCTGTGATCTTTGCCTTGAAAATCTGGAGGCACTACCTTTATGGTGAGAGGTTCGAGGTATTCTCGGATCACAAGAGTTTGAAGTATCTGTTTACACAGAGGGACTTGAATTTGAGGCAGAGGAGGTGGATGGAGTTTATTGAGGATTACGACTTCGAGTTGCATTATCACCCGGGGAAGGCCAATGTTGTGGCCGATGCCCTTAATAGGAAATCCATTAGTGATGTAGCTTGTATAGCCATCCGGGAATGGGGGATGTTGGGTGTACTTGGCGAGTTTTATTTGCATCTGGGCGAATCTGTTGAGGCTGCGACCTTGTTTTCTGTTGTTGCACAACCCACACTTGTGACTAGAGTGTTAGAGGCACAGAGAGGTGACCTTGAGGTAAAATCCCTCCGAGAGAAGATCTCCAGTGGGAAAGTTGAGAAGGGTTTGACGGTGTATCCCGACCAGAGTGTGAGATATCGAGACCGTTTGTTCGTGCCGGAGTCTTGCCGAGAGGAAGTACGCCGAGAGTTTCATCATTCACGTCTTGCGGTGCATCCCGGAGGTACTAAGATGTATCGGGATTTGGGTCGCCAGTTTTGGTGGCGGGGTATGAAGAGAGATGTGGCTGTTTTCGTATCGAAGTGTCTTACTTGTCAACAAGTGAAGGCCGAGCATCAGAGGCCAGCGGGTTTGTTGCAACCCTTGCCTATTGCCGAGTGGAAGTGGGAGCATGTCACTATGGACTTCGTTGTAGGTCTTCCGAGGACTCAGCGGGGTAGTGATGCTATTTGGGTGGTTGTAGACCGGTTGACTAAGTCAGCGCACTTTATTCCTATGCGCGTGAGAGATTCGGTAAATCATCTTGCCGACTTGTATATTCGGGACATAGTGAGATTGCACGGGGTCCCAGTGACGATTGTCTCAGATAGAGATCCTCGTTTTACCGCCAGGTTATGGCAGAGTTTGCAGAGTGCCTTGGGCACGGAGTTGACCTTTAGTACGGCTTATCATCCTCAGACTGACGGGCAGTCCGAGCGTACAATTCAGATCCTTGAGGATATGCTTCGAGGTTGTGTCCTTGACTTTAGTGGGACGTGGGAGAGGCACTTGCCCTTGGTAGAGTTTGCCTACAACAACAGCTTTCAGTCTAGCATCGGTATGGCACCGTTTGAGGCCTTGTATGGCCGACCGTGTAGGTCTCCAGTTTGTTGGGCCGAGGTGGGTGATGCACCTTTGTTGGGTCCGGAGTTGGTTAGGGAGACGACGGAGAAAGTTGAGCTTATCCGTAGGAGGCTTGTTACAGCCCAGAGTCGCCAAAAGAGTTATGCCGACTGTAGGAGGAGGCCTTTGGCGTTTGAGATAGGTGATCATGTCTTTCTGAAGATATCACCTAGGCGAGGTTTGATGAGGTTTGGGAAGAGTGGGAAGTTATTCCCTCTGTTTATTGGGCCTTTTGAGATCCTTGAGAGGATTGGGGAAGTGGCTTATCGTTTGGCCTTGCCGCCGCAGTTGTCCGGAGTGCATGACGTCTTTCATGTTAGTATGCTTCGGAAGTATGAGCCGGATCAGTCCCATGTGTTGGATTGGACCGACTTAGAGGTAGATGAGGATGCCTCGTATGAGGAGAGACCGGTTCGGGTCTTGGATAGGCGGGATCAAGTCCTGCGTGGCAAGACCATCCCTTTGGTAAAGGTTTTGTGGAAATATCACGGAGTGGAGGAAGCCACTTGGGAACGTGAGTTGGAGGTCCGCGAGAAATATCCGGACTTGTTTGTTGATGAATAATCTGATATTTAGATTATGTAATGTTGATGGACTTAAGAGCTTTATATATGTCTTAAGTTGTAAAACATTGGTAATGTTTTGGTTTAATGAAAGTATGTTGTAGAACTTACCTTGATATGGGAGTTGATTATGATATTGCATATGTTGGCTATATTGTAGAATTGGAGTTATATCATGTATATTGATTATGATATGAACTGTGAACCATATATGTTGGAAATGGTTGAAAATGGAAGAAAATTGCATGTTTATAATGCACTTGTAATATATGTTGTGAAATGCCTCTTGAAAAGAGATGGAATTGACCGGTAATGGGTCGGGTTGTTTAATGTTATGTTGTAATATTGTTGAGAATGGAGAAAACCTGTTTTTGAAAAACTTGTGTTTAATTTCGGGGAAGAAATTCTTTAAGGGGGGGAGGTTATAGCGATCCCGGTTATCCCCTTTATTGTTCTGTTGTATTCCGGACTCGGTTCCGTGAAATTGGTAGTGGTATCTATCTTGTTGTGTTCTTTAATTCCATATGATTGAGTTTTAGGATGTTTCGAGCAGGGTTGTTACAGGTTGGTTAGGCCGTGGTTTCAATTCCTTGCTGTTCGGTTTTTAGGCGGTCCGCTCGAGCGGGTCTTCTTGTGCTCGAGCGGGGATTTCATGCCTCCAGTATTTCGGGTTTCTACAAAACTTCTGCAGATGTGATTTCTGCGCACGAGCGGGTTTCTTTACGCTCGAGCGGGTTTGTTGGCGCTTGAGCAGGTAGTACTTCCTGGGTGTAAGTTCTTGGAGGGGGAAATCTGCGCTCGAGCGGACTAGTTTTCACGCTCGAGCGGAAGTGCGCTTTATTCTTGTGTCTTGGCGCTCGAGCGGGCCTTATTGAGCTCGAGCGGACCTAGTTTTCTGTTCTTGACGCTCGAGCGTTGTGTTCTCCGCTCGAGCGGGAATCTGGGTGATTTCAAATCACTTTTTGCTTTTCTTTCTCTCTCCTACTTTTTTTAAAAACCTTTTTTGAGAGCCTCTCTCTCTAGATACTCCCTCCTCTCTAGGGTTTGATCTAGTTAGAGTGTCCTCTTTCTCTTCGGCCTTTGTAAAAGTTGTGTTGATCGTCGAGGGCGTCGTTTTGATCTGAAAATCATTTCATGACTATGAGCTCTGTCAAAGAGGGGCAACTGTAGACACCCCATTTTTGACAGCCCTTAAAACTTGGGCGCCACTGATCATTTACATGGTGATGAAAGTTGTGCAGTGCAAAGTTTCGATTTCTTTAGCAAGAGGAGCTTCAAATCCTAACCTCACACCCCTTTTTTGGGCCAAAGCCTTTTGACCAAAAGATTTTAGACCTTAAAATGCTCTCTTTCAAAATCTTTTTGAAAAAAAGTTCCTACGATGTTCCGAGGCTCGCATTTTGTTAAATGTTGCGCTTTTCAGTAAACCGAGCAAGGACAGAGTGAAAATGAATGAAAGAGAGGTGAACTCTTTGGAAAATCTTTCAAAACACCTTCTTTAGGGGTTTGGAGTTGAAGAAAGGGGAGAGGAGAGAGGAAAACTAGTTGAGGAGAAGTTCGACATGAATCTGGGTAGGATCGAAACTGAGTAATCTTCACAAAAATGAGCATAACTTTTTGCACCTTGGAATTTTGATGTACGGCTGCCACCATTGGAAATAAGACTTCCAGGGCTTCAATTTGGGCTCAAGAATGAGCTAAAAAGGAGTCCAGATGAAGGAGATATGTCCATTTGAAGTTGGGCCCAAAAAGCTGAGGTGGAGGTTGCTGGCCATGAATGGGCTTTTTTGGCCATGTGCCAACCATGAATGGCCTATGCCGGCCAGGTGCCATCCAAGAGTGATCCTTGCCGGCCAAGAATGGACATGTGCCGGCCATCAATGATCCCTTGCTGGCCATTGATGCGAAAAGTCAGATTTCTGCAAATATTTGTGTTCCACCTGTTCCAGCTGTCCATTTTGGGATATTTTTGACTAGAGCTTGCATTTGTCTATATATAGAGGCCATTATCTATTGTTTTGGAGGTTAGAACATTTGAGGAAGAAAAATTTTGGGAG